AAACTTTTCGTCCGTTTAAAAAGTGACCACTTCTCCGGGCGTGTGATAGTGCATCCCTTTCTTGTACACACATGGGCGCATTTGCCTTACAGTATGTTCACTCGCTCACACATGTCATCTAGTTGGTTATGTACAAGTGAGTTTACCAAACCAAACCAAACCAAATTAAAAAATACAATTCGATTTAGTTTATGTGTTTGTTTTATTTGTAAAAATATATTGCCGAATATGAACTTAATTTCACAAGCTTTTTCAGACCTACTGAGCTCAGACAATTCTTCTCATTTTTAATCGGGGTCTGAATTTTCGTCGCTAAAAACAAATGCCTCAGCGCCGTTTGGTCTAAGTCGGCCTAAGCACACTGGCCCCCCATTTTTTCTTCTTTATCAACATAGCGCTAAAAAAGGTTTTTTGCTAGTTTTGTAATATACAAATAGTATGTTCCAATAGCAGTCCGGTTTACAGGATTTAGTCAGAACTTACAGGAAGTCGTTCCTATTGAAATAAAACCTGTAAGTGGGAACACGTTTGAGAGAGTAACTGAGCAACTGATCCTAGTCAGAAGTTTAGTCTGTTCCTTTGAACTTCGGACTAAAACCTGTGGAACTGTCAAACTACAATTTTACTCTCTCAAATGAGAGTAAAAGGAGAACAGATGCAGAAGTGCATAGGAACGCAAAAAGCACTATTTCCTGTAAAAACGTCAGTCGGTTTGTTTACACTTCTGACTAGGATTCAGTTGCTCAGTTACTCTCTCAAACGTGTTCCCACTTACAGGTTTTATTTCAATAGGAACGACTTCCTGTAAGTTCTGACTAAATCCTGTAAACCGGCCTGCTATTGGAACAGACTAATTAGTTGTGTTTAATGAAACCGAAAAAAGTGCAGAGCAGCTCCAGTTAGAGCAGAATAGAGCAGCTGTCAAAAAAACCATAGAGCCAGTTACAGCAACTCAAATCATAAATCTCATGAAACACTTTTCAGGCGGAAATGCTCAATACACTTCCCTGCAAAAATCGTTGGACCATGTAGTCTATTGTGGTAAATTGGAGTACTTACAAAAGTGTTCCTCTGTCATGACCAACTCGTGTCTCTGCGCCAGCTTATTGTTTGTTATCCGATCACTGCTCGTGTTTTAACGAAATGTGATTGAAGTTGAGCATTTGAAAGCACATTTGCATGTCTGGCTGTAGCTGAACGTGTAGAGATGCTCGCTGTTAGTTCTTAGCTCCCAGCATGTTCGGGTTCGAATGCCGTCAGAGGCAACATGTAATTTTTAATTTTTGTCTTGGTTTTTATTAATTTCGAAAAAGCATTTGAAAAGTGAAGAACAAAAGCGTGCACAAACGAAAACATATAACAACAATGCCATTGTTAATATGTTGGAGTAGTTTTGTGCTACTCTGATGTAATGCAGAGATGGAGTATATGGTCTTGCCCTAGGACATCGCAATGTTAATAGGACCATATTTTTTATATGAATTGTGGTTAATTTTGGAGCACTCCTTGGTCCTTAGGGAGTACTCTTTACATGTATGCATAGAGTAGTCGCAATTTTTGCAGGGTTGATTGCTCGACACATTATTGCCAACTTCTGAGATTCAAAAAGCACCAAAATTGGGAAAAGAGCGTTTTACCGTACTAAAAGCACTAATTTTTATTTATACGAAAGGATACTTTTTTCATAACAGTTTGTATTTAACAAAAGTAAAAAAAAAAATAAAATAATATTTATAAGTATAAATCAATACACAAAACGTTTTCTCATGCTAACGAAGTAATACCGAAGTAGGTACTGCAGATTAAAACTGGCATATTTAGAGAAAGAAAAATCTAATCGCAACAAACGAAAAAATGAATGCAGATTCTTTTAAATTCAGTGCTGCTACAGCTTTAAATATTTCAAATTATTTCGTGTTTTAACTATCTATGAGAAATTTGAGTTCAGAAGAAGAGCACTAAAAAAGGCACTCGGCACTAAACAATTTTTTTTTTTGCGTTTTAATTTTCAAAAAGCACTCAATCTAGTGCTAAAATCACGAAGTTGGCAACTATGGCTAGACAGTTCAATTCGTCACTTGTAAATTGTGTGTGTGTGTTTTCTTGCTCGAAGTTACTCCATCGAAAAAGCTGGTGCAGAAAATCCTCATGAAACACAATTTTGTGAGATATCTTAACCTGGCGTAACCTAAAGCAGCTCATTAAGCACAACTATTATATGTACATGTTTTATTCTTTATTTGTCAACCAACTTTATAAAAGTTTGGTTGCATAGATGAATTACATTTAAAAATAAAATAACCAGAAAGACCAGCAGTATATCAAAATAAATATACACTTGGGGTGTTCACAGTTCGTTCCAAATTGTGTCTGAAAATGTAGACGTCTACATTTTGAGACATCTTTAGCATCAAACTGTGAGCACCCCTTTCTAGCAGTGGTCGCAAAATCGTCTCAAAACTTTGCTGGTGTTGCCAGACATTTCTTCTTTGCGTGCTTTTTTATATGTCGCCTTTCGATTTTGTTTCTGAAAAATTGTAATTATTTAACTTAATTACCAATTCCTAATATTTGTTATTTCTTTTCGTTGATTTGTTTCTTTTCATCAGAAATTGCGCTCAAATTAAATGCAAATACAGAAAACGTGCCCAATAAATAAAAAAAATGCGATTAGTATTGCCATAATGCAACCCTGCTGCGAGGTTGCAAAATGTAGACGCGTAAAAAACATATCTTTGAGTGTGACAAAATGTAGACGGCGTCGTTTTCCAATTTTGTATGGGAAACAACAACACCATAGATTTTACGGTTAGAAAACGTCTTAAAATGTAGACGTCTACATTTTGAGACGCTATTTGGAACGAACTGTGAACACCCCAACTATTTGGAACGAACTGTGAACACCCCAACTTTTTTGTTTGAAAATAAGGAGAGGTGCTTATGCGCGGGAAATTTTACGAAATTTCGGGCATAATCGGAGAATTTCACTGTCGAAATCGGGGAATTCTCAAAAATAAGCTGGCTAGCCTGGCCCATGTTGAAAAAATATGGAAAACAGTGTTGCCGCATATTCTTTTAGTGGTAGCCAAATTCCTTTAAAAAAGGGCCACAAAAGAGCTAAAAAAAGTCATTGTGGCTAAAAATGGTAGCTAAAATTTTTTACTTACAATAAGTAATGGTATAGAAAAACAATGAACTCTGGAAAAAAAGCAAAGATTTTCTCCAACCAAAAACCTTTTTGTATAAAAGGGGAAATATACGACACCAGCTTGCTCGGCTCCATCAATTGTTGATTGTACCATCATTTGTCAAACATTGTTTTTTTTTTTTAATTCACAACTACNTATGGTATAGAAAAACAATGAACTCTGGAAAAAAAACAAAGATTTTCTCCAACCAAAAACCTTTTTGTATAAAAGGGGAAATATACGACACCAGCTTGCTCGGCTCCATCAATTGTTGATTGTACCATCATTTGTCAAACATTGTTTTTTTTTTTTAATTCACAACTACAATATCGAGAACTTAATCTTCCACAAACACGGCTTCTACTAATATAGTGCAAGAAATTTTCGCCAACACACTTTTTACTTAGAAAATTGAGCTAATTTCATCACTCACGACACCAGCATGCTGGTTCAATCATAACATTTTCAAATAGTTTTTGAAGTCGCACCAGCAGCTTGTACAATCACATCACAAGAACATAAATACATGGTCAATCGACTTGATGGGCCATTTAACAAATTAAGCATATTAACGGCCATACACTTATCTATTTTAAACTATAGATAGATCGTTAAGAGATAAGTAAACAGCCCTAACACTTTTACAGTATGTATGTATAAAAAACTAAAGAACATACAATACATATATGTATATATATCAATCTTTCTTAGTTTAAAAACTCATTTCTTACATAAATGAAAAAAAAGAGATCAAATTAAGCATATACAACTTTTTCATGCCAAGTATAAATAAATTCTCCAAAGGGCAAAAAAAAGGGCTCGGGGCAATTTTAAATTTAAGTGGCCAAAAAAATTATGTGGTTGCTAAATTTAGCCACCAAAGGGGTCAGACGGCAACACTGATGGCAAATAGTGCACGAATTGAGTGATGTTGGCAGCCCTGGCTCTGATGCAACTCTGTTTCTGCGCTGTCAATTTTAGAGTTGCCAAACATGAAGATTTCGCCCCATTTTGGGGATTTATGAAACCAATTGGGGATAGATTTTTTCGTTTGCGGATGTGGGGATTTTGTTTGGTTTAAAGCTTTGATGTTGAAATTAAAACATATATTTTTTGGGCTGCCCACAAAAATTTCTCGAATAAAGATTTTAATAGTACATCCTTTTTGCGCGTTATGTTTGTAAGGTTTTCCTAATGTCGTCAAAGCATTATTCGGCGCAGATGTCTGCTTTGATTGGCTTTCACTGAACCAACCATTTCCGCAACAACCTCCACGAAAGAAATTCTAAAAAATAAACGGTATTCTTTAGCTATTTGATACTTCTACTTTATTACACTAAAAAAGTTTGATTACTTTTTGATGTCAAACTTTTATTTATGCTGTTTCTGTTGTAGATTGAATTATATTTTAAAGCAAAATTAATAAAAATAAATAAATAAACATATGTTGCAAAAACATATAACTTTGAATTTTGGTGCTAAATCTCTGACCATAGTTGTACTTATAACCAAATGACCTCATGCATATATGTACATATGTACGTATGTACATATACATATATAAATTTGTGAAAATGTTTAGAGAAAAGTATTCAAAACTGTAATAAAATGAAAACTGTGTTAAAATGAAAACTGTATTAAAATGAAAACTGGATTAAAATGAACTAACACAAATGTGAATACATGCTTTTTTTATTTCTTACTAAAAGGGATTTAAATGGGGATTCAAAAGAAAAATTGGGATTTTTTGGGGATAACTGCGGCCTGATATGGGGATGGGGTACAAAAAAATTCTGGCAACACTGTTAAATTTCACGCGGCACATCCTCGCGTTCGTTCACTCGCATTCAGCTGCGAAGGAATTTTTATTTTCGTTTCGCTGCCGGCATCGTGGAAAAAGTTTTGCCTAAGAAAAGTCTTAATTAATTTCATTTTACAGTGTATTAATATTACCAAGTAATAGCAAAATGTTTTGGGGTAAGTTTGTTTAGTGGATTTAATAGCAGATTATAGGTTCAATGCTTAAAATTTCACCACGTGTTTTTTTCATTTTGAGCGGGTTATTGGAACCTTGCGCCATCTTTGGAAAGTGTTTTATATAAAATAATTTTTTAAACCTAGGATTAAATCTCAAGCCCAACCGTAAATATACTCAAACAACAAGCAAACCTTTCCACATTTCCTTGGCGTCATTGGACACCGACTCTGTATCGGATGGAGGAGCGAACCAAATTTACATTAATCATGATAATCAAAAGTTCTTAATTTGCACATTGCGCAATGGCAGCTGCGAACAAGTCATGTTAGATCTGAACTTTGGCGAAGGAGATGAAATTTGCTTTCAGAGCATTGGTAAGTGCTAATGAAGGTCTAAATATATATGTATAATTGTGATTTTCATATTCTTTTATAGGCAGTGGTAATGTTAGTCTCACTGGTTATCTCATTGATAAATTCAATTTCATGGACGATGAGGACGATGATGAGTCTGAAGTGGAAGAAGAAGAGGTGCAAGATCTGCGCCAGGCTCTGAATAAGAAAGCCAATGCAAAAAAAGCTGGCAATGCTAAAAAACAAGTAGCAAGCAACGAAGAGGAAGATGATGATGATGAAGATGATAGTGATTTCAACGGCGAAAATTTAGGTATGGTTGACACTTTATTAAAAAAAAAAAATTAATGCTGTAAAAATACTTTTCAAATAGCCGAAGTTGAAGATGACGACGAGGACGAAGACGATGACGATGAGGATGATGAAGGTATGTGTATCATAAGAATGTAATAAATTCAGGGTAATTTTAATTACATTCTTCATTTTTTTTTACAGAGCAAGATGATGACGATGAAGACGATGAAGAGGAGGAAGAGAGCGAGGATGAGGAAGTCCAGCAACCCAAAGCCAAACACCCGAAGTTGGACAAACCACAGAAACAGCAAAATGGTGTTGCAAAAGAGGGCTCAGCTGAAAAGAAAAGCAAGAAAGATAAAAAGGCTAATAAAAATGAACAACCGCAACAAAAGCAACAACAGAAAGCTGGCGGTGAACGTGTTATCACCGGAGGTGTAAAAATTGAGGATATACGCGTTGGCAATGGACAAGAAGCAAAGTCAGGCAAACGGGCTCAAGTATACTACGAAGGTCGTCTGAAGTCCAATAACAAGGTGTTCGACAGTTTAAAGACAGGTACCGGATTTAAATTTGGTCTCGGCCGTGGTGAAGTAATTAAAGGCTGGGATGTAGGAGTTGTGGGTATGAAGGTTGGCGGCAAACGCCGCATCACTTGTCCTCCACACATGGCATATGGCGCACGTGGATCCCCACCAACAATCCCGCCAAACAGTACACTCGTCTTCGAAGTTGAACTTAAAGGCGTGCATTAGATATAAAAATTCCTTAACTTGTTTTGTTTATTTTAGCAGTTAACAGTATGCGGTAGTTCACAATCAAATTTTTTGATATGCTTGTCTTGAGTTTCATTTAAGTTTAATACAATTTGTTTCTAATTATCTCATGTTCTATACAATTTATTGCATAAATATGAGACTATTATACGGAAGCGAGCAGCATACGCACTTTAAAATGTGCAATGCTCTGAGTTTCGCCCAAGCATAATTATAAAAAATATGAAATACATTCGAAGAACATTTTTTATAAAAAAAAAATGCATTTTTTAATGAGTATTTGCCAGTAATCAAAATACGCATAACTTTTGGTTTCAGGAAGTGGTAATTTATTTTCGGTACTGATATTTATCCTTTCATTTCGTACGTCCCGGAAACCTTTTTGCTACTCTATATGTATGATCGCCTCCTCAGGATAAGCATAAGAAATGATCAGTTTGGTTCTATAATTCATTTCTGAGCGAACTGCAGAACCTGTCTGAGTATCTATTAAAATCCACTTCATAAAGGATTGACAAAGGTGTCATAATCGGGAGAATCTCTGAATTCGTAGGGTCAAATTATTTTCAAAACGTTATCACTGAATTTGAAAAAGCTACGATATAACATATGTAGTTATGTGCACTATGAATGCGGATCCGGCGATCGCATTTTCGTAGATTTTACNGTCTGAGTATCTATTAAAATCCACTTCATAAAGGATTGACAAAGGTGGCATAATCGGGAGAATCTCTGAATTCGTAGGGTCAAATTATTTTCAAAACGTTATCACTGAATTTGAAAAAGCTACGATATAACATATGTATGTGCACTATGAATGCGGATCCGGCGATCGCATTTTCGTAGATTTTACGAAATCGGACTACGATGGATCCAGTGTGTTTACTTAAACGCATTAATTTAAAGCATCAGTTCCTTTTATTTCTCTTATTTAATGAGCGGAACCTAAATAGGTTTCACTTTCTTTGTTGCGCTTATTGGACGTTCCTTTGTAACATTCACCCCTATATATGTATAGCACAACCTTTCACAATATCCGACCAAGGGCTTTATTAGCCGTAGTCGAAATGCAATAATCTTTTAAAANGTAGTAGATAAACGACTTATTCGATTGCCGCTTTTCCATGGTATTGTGAATCTCGATTTCTCGTTTAATAAGCGACTGAACAATTTTTAATCTCATCCTTCTACAGCTGTTTATTTGTAAAAGGATGAGCGACTATAAACTATTCAGTCGCTTATTAAACGAGAAATCGACATTCACAATACCATGGAAACACGCACTTATTGGACAGGAAATTGACTTTGAATATACCACGGATAATCGATAATCGACTAACAGTCGTTTATGTACTACTAGCCGACACTCGCAATAGGGGTGAATATTTAGAAATAACTAGTAATAACCCCCCAAGGTTCGGGTGAATACATTAAAGAAATACTTGCAGATACTAAGTATTTAAACTTAAGTAAAAAATAAAACGTGATGTTCATGAATATACCTCAGTATTTAGCTCAAAATTTATTTAAAGAACTTCGCGAAAAACAAAAATTATTCTTGTATTGCTAGAGACCTGATAACCCATGGTAATTTATAAGTAATTAATGGGCCTTACTCTACTCATAGCTTCGTACAGTGACCCGTGGAAAAACAGTAATTTTTAAGGTATAGCACAACCTTTCACAATATCCGACCAAGGGCTTTATTAGCCGTAGTCGAAATGCAATAATCTTTTAAAATTGGCGCCTTTTCATGGTCAAAGGCATTTATTATCACGCTTTTAAACTAAAGCTTTCTTAACACTTTTAGTACAAAAATACATAAATATCTATACCGGCTAATTTGGATCATTCATTTCAGAAATCGCATCAAAAAATTTTTAGAGTTTTGAATTTTACCGTCGTCCTGGGCCCTTTAAATTTGTCAGTGATATCCTAGGTGTTGAATAAGAATATATATAGGTGATACATAATTACAGAACCTGAATGGCATCGTAAATCGACTGTCAAAAGCTTGTGAACCCTCCTTTAGTATAAATAACATGCCGGAGGTAAAAGTTTCAAAAGCCCACTTTCATAAAAACTTGGATTTTGATACAAGCACGGAAATTCAAAATGGATCGTTCCAGCAAACATTGAGGTTAATTATCGATTGGATAATGATTGGAGAGCTAGCCACATTCTCCAATCTCAAACGTTTTAGATCGACTCGAAAAACTATCGAGAATCATAGCGATCTCTACAAAAATGGGACATAGTTCTTGACTCGAGAAAATATTAATTCTCTAATCGAATTCTAATGTTGATCTCTAATGGGATTCGAATTTGAATTTCAAACTGCTATTTTGCTTTATTAAATAAAACGCTTTTTTGTAAAATTTTTATTAAATGTATTTGCAATAAAATAATAATGAATTATTTGAACATAAAAAAAAAAAATTATGATTCATTCATTTAGAATATTGCTTATTTACATTTACTTGAATTTGCGTTGTTTCTCTAATCGTTCTCGAAACGAATTCTAATATAGTTCTCTAACATCCGTCATCGACTCGAGAACGATTAGAGAAATGCGCTAGTTATCTAATGTAGAAATCCAAATTTCTCTAACGGTGGAGACTGTGTTTGCTGGGGTTTCCCAAACGACTGACTTTAATAACAGGCATTTATTGACCTCCGTCAACTTAAGCTAATTTGTCATCGGTTTTCGCTTCACTTCCTTCTTTCGAGCCTTCACTTCCGAAAAGAGGCTCCGCCGGCATTTTCCAATGTTCAACCACATACGGCAGCCGCTCGCTGGGATCTGTACTCCAGTGATGAATTCGACAACGTAAACGCGCCTTCTCTAAATTATTCACCGTTATGGTGCAATAAAACTCCTTAGCCTCTTTATTCATATCAGGACCCTCAATGCGAGCCTCTGGCATTTGTATGCATTCTTCTGGACAATGAATACCTGCCTTGCGAAGGGATGCTTTTATATGCCATGGCTCAACAACCCAAGGTTGATCCTTATTCATCACTACCGCAAGCGTAAATCGTTCAATGATATTGACCGTCTGAAACCACAATTTATTTTTATACAACAAAAAAAACAATTTTGTAAAATACATACGCGCTGTGCAAAGGCTGAACTATGGCGTACTGTTTTCTTGTCTTCCTCAGTTTTGGCATACAATGCCATATTTTCTTCTGTCTTGTACACTGCCAATCCAGGCAACAAAAGTTTGTTGTAAGCGAAATTGGGCCTTACAGAAACCACATCGCCTTTATCACCGACACCTTCTACATAGGTTTTCAGAACAACCTCTAAATTTGGTCGGCGTTTAGTATTTGTATCCTCTACCAGCTCATAAATAAAATGCTTCGCGCGCAATTTTTTAGGTTTTGCATTGATTTTGTGTAACAACGGATCATATTTTCTCTTCAACACAAAAGTCGTCTGCAAATCAAGAAGCGGACAAGACGGGAATATGAGAAATCTATATTAAAGTTAAATGAAATTTATTGGGAATATTTACCCGAACTTGCTGCTGCAACGTCGTTGCGCTTTTGAGCATATTAAATGAGGTGCTGCACCAGGTTCTTATCATTTTTACATAGATTTTTAATACAGAATTATAAAACCAACCAAATCGAAGCAAAAATTCGATCAAAAAAATTGCCCAACCGGCGAACAGCTGATCATTTGACAGTTCTTATGTAAGCAAACGATATGTTTCTTAACTTTTCCACCAGAAATTAATAGAAAGCGGCGTTGCCGTTTTATAATTTTCGAGCGAAGTGAAATGACCCAAAAAATGGAAAGTTTTTTGGTTTTCCTTAGTGTCAAAGTAAAAACTTTGGAAGAAGTACATATCTGTGGACATTTGGACATTTGATAAAACAACTTAAGTCTATCTTTCAGGGATAAAGATAAATTTATAAGAAAAATAGCATAACTCGGCAAAGCTCTTTTTTACCGTCAAATAGATACATTTTTAACGGTTGTGAATAGCGATCACATTTCTTTCGAGTTCCAACATTTATCTCTTTGACATTTTTAACGGTTGTGAATAGCGATAACATTTCTTTCGAGTTCCAACATTTTTCTCTTTGACTTTTTACTGCATAAGCATATGGTTAGGCGTTTTTTCGTACATCGTTCACATAATAACATACCTGCAAAACTCGAATGACCGAAATTAATAGTCTGTTCCAATAGCAGTCCGGTTTACAGGATTTAGTCAGAACTTACAGGAAGTCGTTCCTATTGACATAAAACCTGTAAGTGGGAACACATTTGAGAGAGTAACTGAGCAACTGTTCCTAGTCAGAAGTTACAGGATTTAGTCCGGAGTTTCTTTTCCTGTAAGTTCATGAAAAGTGTCAAACGATCAGCTGATTTGCATGTGCAAGCAAAAACTAACAGCGGTGAAAGCAAAGTACCTTATATTTGTAAAAAAATGGAAGTAAACAACGAAATGTTTGAATATGTATAGATTTTAATAATTATTTAGTGATATTTCAGCTAAATCAGTGTTGTACAAATGACATGTAAACAAACCGACTGACGTTTTTACAGGAAATAGTGCTTTTTGCGTTCCTATGCACTTCTGCATCTGTTCTCCTTTTACTCTCATTTGAGAGAGTAAAATTGTAGTTTGACAGTTCCACAGGTTTTAGTCCGAAGTTCAAAGGAACAGACTAAATATGTTTACATATCTGTACCATGTCCAGCTCTACTCCGGACTCAATTCTGTAACTTCTGACTAGGAACAGTTCTCAGTTACTCTCTCAAAAGTGTTCCCACTTACAGGTTTTATGTCAATAAGTCTGTTCCTTTGAACTTCGGACTAAAACCTGTGGAACTGTCAAACTACAATTTTACTCTCTCAAATGAGAGTAAAAGGAGAACAGATGCAGAAGTGCATAGGAACGCAAAAAGCACTATTTCCTGTAAAAACGTCAGTCGGTTTGTTTACATGTGATTTGTACAACACTGATTTAGCTGAAATATCACTAAATAATTATTAAAATCTATACATATTCAAACATTTCGTTGTTTACTTCCATTTTTTACAAATATAAGGTACTCTGCTTTCACCGCTGTTTGTTTTTGCTTGCACATGCAAATCAGCTGATCGTTTGACACTTTTCATGAACTTACAGGAAAAAAACTCCGGACTAAATCCTGTAACTTCTGACTAGGAACAGTCGCTCAGTTACTCTCTCAAATGTGTTCCCACTTACAGGTTTTATGTCAATAGGAACGACTTCCTGTAAGTTCTGACTAAATCCTGTAAGACGGAATGCTATTGGAACAGACTAAATAGCAACGACTTCCTGTAAGTTCTGACTAAATCCCCTCAACCGGCAGAACGCCAAAATAGTGCAAGCTCCTGAACAGGTACACGGCTGCGGGGTTACACAATCTACGCAGCAGACAATTTAAGGAGTTAAAATCTCTTCTAAAAGGCCCTTCTGAAAGTCATTCCTTTCTCCTTCCTTTTTAGTACGCAGTGGCACAAATTGAAGAGCTTCTGATTTCACTACTCAAAGAAGAGCTTCCAAAAGGGCTTTTGAAGAAGTTCATAAAAATCATACTTCTTTAAGGAATTTATATATTTAAGGTTTGGATCAAATATCGAGGGCTTATCGTCACTAGACACGCATAAAGGCGCGAGCTTAAAAGTTGACCGCGAAAAAAATATTTGACGGCGAAGAAGGACGCGTAAACTTATTTTCGCGCTTCAACTTCTGATATAAAAATCCGCCTAAGACTTAGCAGTCATCGGTGATATTTGCTAACCTTGTATAGCGCTTGACAGAAGAATTTACTAGCCATCATCGATTCGCCACTTCTTGCTCGCTATGTTTGAGTTCCGGTCGCTTAAACAAGAATTTTGCATGTGAAGGCAACAACAAAGTTAGCTAGCACGGATAGACGATAGCGAGTTTGGTTGTACCTCATTGAGTTCGTTCGTTTCGACACTCGCTAACTGTTGGCGAATCGATGACGGCTACTATTAAATTGCAAAGTCAGAATTAACATAACCCTGCAAGAACAGTGACAATCATTTGACCGGTAAAATGACGGACAATCCTGACAGAAATACTCTTCATTACTTTGTATGAACGTTTCTATCAAAATATTAAGGGCAATGTGCAAAATTTGATGGAAAAAATCGTATACATGTGAATCATCAATGATATAAACATTGGTCACAAATGAATAATCATGCTTGATGGGATCTTAGGGCAGTATTGACAAATCATACTTGCTATAAAAGTTGGTCAAATATGACTGATCACAATTGATGGGTTTCGACGTCATATTAAACAACATGAGCTTTTCTCTGCTCGTAACATTATTAAAATTTTTTGTTTAATTTTAAAACACTTTAGTTTTTTTGTCTAAATACTTATCGTTTATTTCTTAGCACTTTCTCGGTAAAACTTTCGANGACATTATTAAAATTTTTTGTTTAATTTTAAAACACTTTAGTTTTTTTGTCTAAATACTTATGGTTTATTTCTTAGCACTTTCTCGGTAAAACTTTCGACCGCGTCCTTTCGCTTCTAGATTTTTTTTATTGTGATTTATAATGGTGTACATATTTTCTTTTCTTGTGAACCTTTCCATCATCAGTGACAATCATATGACCGGTCAAATGATAGTCACCGAAAAAAAATCGTATTCTATCAGCATTGTCAATGATATGACAGGTAAAATGATTGGCCCGTAGTCATAGTCAAAATAAAGTCGACTTTAAAGTTAGTTGCAGCTTTTTGACAGATATCCCATTGAAAATTATTAACTAACTTTATTATTTACTAACTTTAAAGTCGACTTTATTTTGACTATGACTACGGGCCATTGTCACTGTTCTACCCGACTCGACTGGCATATACATTTTTGCATATGTGTTAATTTTACTTGTGAATGTGTTGGAGTTTTAGTCATTCGCGTCTTGTAGGGAAGTGATGAGGGGTAAGTCCCAGATGGGTAGTAACATCACAAAGTAATTTTTGTGAAAATTGCAGATAGAGAGTATTGAATATAAGCCCTCGATACGTTTTATTAAGACTTAAAATGCTTATTGAATCCTATTTGTAATGCTTAATAATATAAGCATATACTTAAGTACATTTGCGTAAATTGTAAATAGGAAACCCCTGCCTAGGAAGCATGCAGGGCAGACCTTTTTCAACCCTCATTAGGTAAGTCTCTCAGAATGGCTTCACTTCAGATAGCCTACCGAAATTATCTTTAGGTTATGCATATCGAGGGCTTATATTCAATATCCTCTAAGGACCATTTAAAGCAGGTGAAACAATTTAAAACTCACAATTTCCAACTTTGTCACAAACTTATTTATTGACTGTAACATTAATTATATACATACATATGTATACCTGGGAAACCTCAACTTCTAACTACCTAAATACATACATGTGCATGTATTTTAACAGTAAATATGTAAATAAATATTTAAATCCTAAGTAGTTAAACCCAACCTTTCTATTCCACGAAAATTTGATTGTATACTCAACTTGTTCGCTGTTCGTTTGTCCTTTATGCATTCAAAAATGTGTACTATTTTGCACAAAAGGTGTTATTTACATGCCTTTTCTGCAAAATGAGTGGCACAAAGCGTTTGTCATAAATAATAATAAAGGAAGGGAAAATAAAGCTCAGGTAGTGGTAGTTTTTGTAAAACTGTAAAGATCTCGCTTAACGAGCTAAAACTCAGACTAGTAACCCTAGAGCACAAACAAATATTTACACACATACATATGTACATACATATGTATGCATACATAGCACATACACACAAACACACTTGCATATACAAGTAAATAAATACATAAGAATTATTTAAGTCCATATTTAACAAATCACTTATTAACTACTTTTCAGACTTAAATTTGTATCGTCTCCAGCATCCAATCCACAAAATGTCCTACTCTGGTATAAACACCTGGCCAACCTTCTAAGCCACACGACGCTGGTCCAAATGAAACGATGCCAATCAAAAAATAATAGGTGCGTCCTCTGCTTGTCGTGCCTAGTCCAATGAGTGGTCCACCCGAATCACCTCTGCAGGAATCCACACCTTGTTTACCGCCAGCACACATTTGCGTGCTCTCCAGTAGAATACTTTGAGGACGATAGACATGACGACACTTCTCCAACGACACTCCGGTTAGTTCAGCTTTCAATTTAACATTACTACTGGACTTTGACTCTGTTTTGCCCCAACCAGCCACATCCATGATGATATCATCGAAAGTGGCGGTACGTAAATTGCTATTCACTGGCAAGCAAATGGGTCGTACGAAGTCTGTGAAAGTGACGGTTTCCTTCAAACGCAAAAGTGCGATGTCGTTAATTTGATTTATCGAATGAGGATCATATTGGGGATGTGGTATAGCACTTTCAATGGGCACATCGATATGTCTTGGCGCACAATCCTTTTCACCGCGTGCATCAACTTCACAATCGGGATTTGTTGTGGTATCCCATTCGCCCAAGCGCACTGAGGTTATCTGCCATTCGCTAGGCAAAGCTCTACCATTGACGCAATGCGAAGCAGTGACAACGTAACGAGAGTTGATCAGCGAACCGCCGCAGTGATGACCGGTATGACCGAATGCTGGAAAGAAAGACATTTTATTTATGTTATTTTGATTTATGTTACTTAGACTGTCTGTAAAAATTAAATGTTTTTTGTGGGAAAATTGAAATGGCTTTTGGCTTTCGTAAACTACTAAACTAATCGTGAGACATTTCATTGAGTTCCAACATCCAAATCCAACATATGAAAGTTTTCCCAATAGCTTGCGAACAATTAAAGGTACCTCCATTTGTATGAGAAAACTTGGATTTGCGCGCCAATTAGACCCCTTTCAGACACGTCAAGTCTTGATTTCAAGTCTGCTCGTTCGTATGCGAAGGAGGTAAAACGAATGTACCCTTCCCCTCTCTTCTCACCTCCTTCGCCTACGAACCGAGCTCACTTGAAAGCAAGACTTGACGTGTCTGAAAGGGGTCTTATTCGCCTGTCACACCATCGCGTTTCGGATCGCGATATTTGGATCGTGATCCATATTGATAGATTTCAAAATATTTAGAAATCTTGTGATATTGATCTCGATTCATGAATGCTACACGGCACGATCCAAATATCGCGATCCGTATTGATGGTGTGACAGGTGCCTAAGATCCACGATTGAGAGAATACAAAGGTTGCGCCGATCTCGGACCGCTATTCCTCTCTTAACGAATTTGACAGAATCGTTGTTTGCATGACGTCACACTTGTGCAACTTGTTTACGTTTTCCTTGCAATCTTTTTTCTTCTTCCATTCTTGCTCATGTTTTGGCATTTCTCTCTCGCAATTGCACCAGTGTGACGTCACACAAAAGTTATTCTCAAAAATCATCTGTGATCGGCGCAATCTTGTAACCTATCATTCTTGACTAAGATCGGTGTTATGCAGAAATTTTGTTTGGCAAAAAGCGAGCAATTGTTGTTGCAGAAAACTCGGAGAGAGTGAGTTTGGCGACTCTCGCAGCAAACTAGTTTTGTGTTGCCATTTTGGCGCTTTTGGAGCTAGCTTAATAGATTTTTTTTTTCCTATTTAGCTCCGAAAATTGGGATTTAGCTCCTAGATATTTTTTTTAGCTCTTTTCAAAATTATCTAGCTCTTTTTTAGCTCCAGAAAGTTTTAGTTGTATTTGGTAATACATTAAAATTAAAAATCTGTAATTTCACTGTACAAGTGTTGACTAAAATGCTTTTGGTTTTGGTGATCTCAGGCTATTTTCGATACCTTTATGTTATTATCCATTTTAAATTCGATTAATACTTAGAAAAGTTCCATTCCTAATGCAAATGCGCGTAAGCAAATGGAAAATGGGCAAGTAATGGTCTGATTATGGCAACTTAACGGAACTTACGGCTCTCTCTTAAAAAATTCTGTTAAATGGATGTGGCTTATAACTGAACAGCCGAAACTTAACGTAACTTAATGCCACGTCGAAATCTGTTTCGTTTTGATTCTCTAAGTTCTACGTTCCGTTAAGTTCAGTTATGTTGCCATAATCAGGCTTTTAGTCGAATACTTTCTACCGCGTACGCGGGAGCACACAAACTATACCGGGCAGTAATTCAAGCTCCGATAAGCTCAGATGGTGCATTCTCTCTCTGGCGGCAACGGTTGAAAAGGAAAGCCAAAACGTAAGCGTTGATAAAATTACAATTTTCGAAAACTGGTTATGGAGATAAAACGTTAATGGTTTTCGAAAAAAATAAAACGATTTCAGCAGATATTCCCTTTCGAATCCAAGTAGTTTCAATTAGACATTGGACTTTTAGTTTAAATATTTCATATTTGCGACGTCGAGTCTGGCGTCAAGGGACCATCAGTCGTAGCCAAGCTGAAGCCCACAATCACTTTAAAAATATTGTAAGTAAGTCACATTCGGTTGAAAACTATACTTATAAAATCGAAATGTAACACTGATCAGACAGTGTTAGGTATCCACCCAAAACGAAATAGATTGCATAAAAATACTTCGACCTAACAACTCGTAAGAATGTCTTCCATTCTTTATCTATGAGATTTTCTCTTATATTATGTAACTTACGTTTTGTGTATTCTATCAAAGCCATCCAAGGATATTCATCAATCTTTGTCGCGTTACCGCCATAAATTCGGCTTGATGTCATCTGTCCACATTGGCCGGGACGTGGTAATTTTCTTATTTTTGGATATTCCGTAGAAGTTTTATCTAAGAGTACAGCCTTTTTCACAGCTTGAGACGATGGCACAGATTTCTTGGCAATTGGGGGCTGAATAGAAGAATTTGTGTTTTGTTCAGGGCAGCATATCTGAAAAAAGTAATGTAGTGAAAATAAAAATCTTGTTGGCACGGCGACTTCTAGAATTAGGCCTACCGAATTTACATTAGACATTGGAATGATAATAATGAGGAGAAATGGCCTACCTTTAAACAATTGGCATGGCGAAACGGACTTAACTAACGTTAGTTCACCGGTTTATTAGTGGAAATTTTTTTTAATTTCTTCTTTTTTTATCATTTAATGTCTAGTGGAAATTAGGTATAATTTTATTTAGCGTTTGTTTTCAGTTTTACGAAGTAATATTGCACTCACCAAAACTCTTCCATTAAGATAACCACATTGACTCTGACTCAAGTACAGTCTATTCACATCGTGTAGTGGTTGGCTCAAGAGCAAAGTGTACAGCTTTTTGCACTCTTGCAAAATTATGCAAGAACCACGTCTGCCATTTGGCGTAATGCAACGTCCGAAATTCCGTTTATCGACCGCATCATTAGGGTAGTTAAGCTCTGAAAAATATTGAATTTTTTTTATAATAATAAATATGCATGTATTATTATAGTTGATTGAGGTGTCTCATTAAAAGTATACGACAGAAATACGATAATCTAAAAATTTTAACTAATGCCGGTTTTCCACTAGACATTGAATGACAAAAAATTTAAAGGCAAAATTGGACATTAAAAAATACTTCAGGGCTCGAATCGTAACATCCGTTCACGGATCGAAAACCATACGCAAGAAAATTACGTGATACCGTCAGTCGTATAAGCTGAATTGGATAAAGAGTACGCTCACGTATGTCATAATGCGAAAATGGTGTTTTTACGTGACGAGTAATACGATATCGTATGTGACGATTCGAGCTCTGGTATTGTGTTCATAAAAATAGTTTGCTTCCTCAAAGAATTTTTCACATCTTAATGCTTAGTGGAAATCCAGAAAAATTTTTTTTATTCAAAAACATTTTATAATGTACTCATTCTTTTGTAGCTGTAGATTGGCCGTACCTAAGATTCGTCCTCAGTTACACGTAAATAATTCTGCAATCGCATCACCCGAATACTATTTTTTTACACCAAACAAATTACAGGCAAGACATCACTCAGTGATTTCTTTTTCAAAAGAAAGCACCGAAGAGTATTAAACCCTTAATTATCATTATTTAGTTATAATAAAAATTCTCAATAATGCGGTCTAATGTGCACCGCCATTCACTTCAAATGTGGAGGCTTTGGCAAATTCGTATTAAGATTATGTACATCACCCAATCCACATGATTTAAATTTGTACATATGTATGTATGTATGTAGTATGTTTGTAATACTTACGCGCTGTCGGCAAACTGCTGGAAAATGCTTCCATCAAAAGGACACTCAGTAAAACTTGTCTTAACATTTTGAAGTCGCTGTGATCACTGGTTTAACGATGGGTTTTTCCACCGTCTTTATATAAAATATTTAGTGCACCTGTACGCGATATTGAAGGTCATTTAATGGCTGTTGTTATAAATTGTTGTTGGATATGTTCACTCGCTTCGAATGTCATCGCGAAAACAAATTTAGTGACACAGGTAGGCAACCAACGAGGCGCTAAGTAAGATACCTCGCTACGAACGCAAGGAATCGTGACAAGTGAGGCATATGCACATACATACTCGTACAGTATATATGTATGAATGTAAATGCATACCAAAAATATCCTTCTCTATAATTTAAAGAAACATTCTTTGGCTTTTCTCGCGAGCAACATTCATCGTTGGTTTTAGTCCCTTCGTTGAGCAGCGCATTTTTTATATACCAAAACACATATACATATTTACAATTGCTTATGTATACATATACTAGCTATACCCTGCCACGCTTTGCTGTGGCATAATCCTGTTACATGATAAATTATTAACAAAACGAGGCATTCGTTTCATATGAGTTTGGTTTTGAAATAAGTACAAAGATATCTGGTTTGTTCTGAGAACAAATCCGCATCTCAGTCTAAACCACACTTTTCCAAAGGTTAACCTTGAGCATTATTGATTGTGATTCCGAATGCCAAGTGAATTGGAAATTGCAATCTTTTAAATCGAAATGGTGTATCGGTCGGAATCATGGGAATTATTCACCTTTGGAAGGCCACGTAAAAATCTTTACTTACACTACGTTCTTCATCAATCTCTTAACTGCGAGTCGCGTACCGTTGCAGAGTTTTGGCTGATTAAAATTCCGCAACGTGATAATTGGCACACCTATTTTCAATTCAGTATGTTGGGTCATCCCTGGAAGATCAATCGAGTTTAAAATTCCGTTGGATAATTAACTGATTCGTCTTTTTCCACAACGGTGTTTATCGACGTATATGCACTGAAAATAAAATCTGCGTAAATATAACGAAAACTTGCGTAAATCTTACGAAATTTTTCGTCATTTCGAGCCACGAAAGTTTTCGTTGATTGTACAAAACCGTTTTCGTACACACTACGAAAATATGAGGCATCAGATTTTTAGTACATTTTACGAATGTATTCGTACAATTTACTAAAGAATTTAGTACTATTTACTAAAGAATTTGGTACTATTTACTAACGAATTTCGTACTATTTACTAAAAAAAATTCGTATTATATCTTTATTTTTTTACGAAATTTTTGTAAAATGCACAGAAATAATTCGTATTTTTAACGAAATTACTTTCGTAAAATCTGCACTTGTTTCGTAGAATGTGCGATTTTGCTTTCATTCTCCACACTGTAGAAAACATATTACGAATTATAACACAACACTTTTATTTTGTTTTTATCGTTAATTTTAGGCGTTTTTGTTAAACAAAACGGTTTGCAAAAACGCTTAACATTATTGATTAAAATTTAATGAAAGTGTTGTGCTATAATTTTAGTCATGTTTTTCATAGTGTTAATAATAAAAGCAATCATACGTTCTACTACACTGTAGTTTAGAATTAATAAAAAAGGTTATTTTACCAATAATAAAACTTAAGTCTTTTCTTTTATTTATATGCATACGAGTAGGTTCTATACTACATATTTTTTTATTGCTTAGGCTTCATTCAATAAAGTATATTGATGCAAAGTGCTAAACTCAACAAAACTAAGTATAAGAAGATATAAAATATGAAAGAATATAAAAAATACTTGGTTTACTTTCTTAAATATTATAATATTTTTATGTAGAGGAACTTGACAGATTTGCAGCTTCATCGATGTTTGTTTCTTTGACGACTATAAATTAAAGGAAAATTCTAAGGCCTTTGAAAAGCAAGTTTCAGTGAAAATTCATACATGTACTTACTTTTAATTATATTAAGTAGTGCTCCTGGCCTAGGCTTGCCGTTGATAGGTAACTGATGAAATTGCGTATATTCCAGCGCAAAGCGCTTAAAGGCATAGTATATCCACAGCTTTAATATTTAATTTTGTATTGTTTTTTTTTTACCAAGCAAATCCCTTTTTAAAACGTTTAAAATTATATTATACGTTTCACAGCAGCCAACAATGATTTCCGCAATGACACGTGATGCAAAAAATATGATGAAATATTAAACTGCCGGTAATTGAGAATATTGTTTTAAAACCACACGTAAATATTACGAATGCCTTCCTGCAATATACAAATTATTCGTACAGAGATTTGTTCAGTGCTTTACGAATATGTTTCGTAAAATAAACGTTAGATTTCGTAAATTGTACTGAAAAAATGCCTTACGAAAATCCTTTACGTATGGTTCGTAAAATCTTGTTTCGTTGTGAAAAATGTGTTCGTATTATGAACGAAAGTTTCGTACCCCAGCAAACATTTGGAGTCATAAATGAGTCTTTAAGGAGTCCCATTTCGGAGCCCTTGTGCTCATAATGAGCTCATTTAAGAGTCCGAAATGAGGGTGTTTCCCTTCCTGCGTAGGTCGACCTATATGAGCTTAAATTCATACATCAAATGAGCCTCAATATGAGTCATATTGGACTCTTATTGGCCTCATATACGGCTCATTTTGGACTCTTTTTGAAGCTCTTAAATGACTCTTATTGGCCTCATAAATGCCTACTTTCGGAGCTCCTTGTATGCTGTTCTGTAACTCTTATTGTTTGCGGGGACATTGTACAAAAACCAACACTACGAAAGATTTTCGTAGCACTTTTACGAAATTTTATTTTAAGTGTGTTATTGTTTAAGCGACTTATGCATTTCCCGCATAAACAAAGAACAGCGAGAATAAACCAAGTGCAGCGAACACACACACGCACTTGTGTTCAAAAGTAATTCGCTCGTTCTTAATTGGGTATACATTTTTTATGCAATTCTCAAATATCTCTTCGCTGAACTTAGTGAAGTGATAAGTTGCTGGCATTTTCAGCTATGGTCAACGCTAACCCAGCTTGGCTATCACACGGTGCTTTAAACATCACCCCCACTCAACTCCCGGAGTAATTTTTGGCATGGTATTAAGCTACTGATTACAAACCACGCTGGGGATTTGCACGAATGCATCCCTGGATAAATCCCTGCTCATTGCACAGCAGCCTACGGCAGCTAGAGCATGACTCCTCTAAAGGAGTCCCGCAATGAATACACGGTGAAAGGGTCACATCTTGCGCTACCGCTTCATCAGCCTGCCCGGATATTTCTCTCTCTCTCTCTCTTTCTCTCTAGCATATCAGGCATATGAAGTGCGTGGCTGACTTGATGTGCACCTAAAAACCTCCTCCTCAACTACTCTAACTCGACCACAACTCTAAACCTGGTCTCCCGCTCTCCCTCAGCTAAACAGTTATTTCCTCACTTTGAATGCTGGAGTGAATATCATTAGTGGTATTCACCAAAGTGGAGCAAGTGGCCTGGCAGTCTGGAAAAAGAGCAGACCAGCTCAAGCAACGACTGTTGTCAATACCAGTCTTATTTAGTTAATAGACATCCTTATTCTTCGCAGCAAGAAGCTCGTTCACTGAGCCTATAATTTTCGTAATTAAGAAACATTCTTTCGATCAGTTCTCCTTTCGATGTTCCTAAGCTACAAAAATTATCAGGCAATAAAATTTGTCTTAATCTCTCGTTGGCTGGCAGCAATCCGTTCCCAATGTCCAGAATGGTTGAACGTTTCCATGCAAATCCCACGACTATCGATCAAGAGCCTCAAGCAACTTTTTATGTGCCATCGTGCACTGATC